TACATAAATCGTTCTACTGTATCATCGACCATCACATAAATAAAATGGAAACAACGATTTAATCCTAATATAAGTTTGTTGCAAGCTAATTAATATACTTATTGAAATTCGAACCTTACAGATAATATTTTTTTATTTCAGTTTTCAAAACATAGATCTAAATAGTCAAATAATAAATTCGAATCCGATCTAAACCAAACAAATTACAATTTTGATAGATTGATTTTTGCAATTCGATTTTTAAAAGCCAGTATATTTTTATAAATATATGACTTGACTATTAGTCAGCTACTCAACTATATAAAAGAAATAAAGTAAATTGTTTATTGTAAACTAAAATTTATAAAGAACCATTAAGAAAAATATATTATACATGTAAAAACTTTAGAGAAAAAGTATATATTAATAGTTTTTTATTTTTGAACCTATTAAAAGATTAACATAGTAAATTAATACTTGATTAAAATATATATTAAAATTAAAAAATACAAATAAATAAATAAATAATTTATGTTCAGTTTTTTTTTGGAGTATTCGGTTTTTAATTTACATTTCATTATTAGTTATAAGGCTAGTTTGATTTCCTATTTAGTATTTATAGTCCCTTTTCCTTTCATTATAATTTTTTCATTCAAGTTGGATCGTCGAGATTCCATTCAAGCCGGCTCGTGTTCTATTGCATGTAATTTCTTGAATTTTTATCTCAGATCCCTTTGATAACTTGTAAACACATCCATTATGTTAATCTATTGAAGAACTTATGTCATAATGTTAGTGTGTTTTTCAAGATTTCACTGGTGTGTTTGTTGTTGTAAATCTTTTGATTTTCCCTATAAAGTTCAATATGGTAGTAAAGTAGTTTTGAAAGCCATTTGTTAGAAACTTGAATACATCGAACTAGCTTCTTTGAATTGCATAATTAGGTGGCTTACAAGTGTGACAACCCTTTCCCTGAGTTCAAGGTTTTTTTTTTTTTTTTTTGGTAGTTTTATGATTTGTTTTTATAAATTGTAACCGGATCATTGTATTTCATATTTTGTAATAGTCAAAACAGTAGAATTTTGCATAAAGCAATACAGCTATTTATTCATGTTATTGCTGCAACAATCTTGAAAACAAAAATTACACATACACTGATACACATACACGATAAAATGTTGAAAAATTGTTGAAAAATAGTAACCACCTATGATAATGGTTCAAACCAGGTACATACCACACCTTTCTGCTGATGATCAGCATTGTAGGATTTATCAATTGAAGTTTGGTATA